TAAACTTTAGAATGTAAATATTTATTACTGATTTAAACAAAATTATAATATAACTTAAATTTATTAGAGTCCAACCCTTGAAGGCATAAATTGTTTCAGGTATTTAAAAGAGAAGTAACTTAATCCAGGAAACTGGTTGTTGAGGTGATTGAGATGAGATCCCAATAAGAGACAGTGATCCAACCCCGAGTTTAGCAGTGACAGGCAGCTGCTGCTATCCCTAGACTGCTAGTACAAAGGGATGAGGCTGTGTTACTGGAGCCCAATGATGAAAGAGCTAAAATCTGATCTGCTATAGGAGCAAATCAGTCCTTTATGCCTAAAATTGGGATACCCAAGAACTAGCATTAAAAACAGATTTAGAAATATGGAGGAAAATACCAAAAGAATCACTAAAAAATGTTCACCTAAATGTGGAGAGATCAGAACTCTTTATCCATTGCTGGTGGGACTGTAAAATGGTATAAGCATTTTGGAAAACAGTATGGTAGTTCCTCAAAAAAAACTAAAAATAGAACTGTATGTCATCCAGCAATCCAGTCCTAGGTATATACCCTAGAAGCCTAAAAGTAAGGGCACAGACATATGTACACTTACGTGCTAAGTGAAGTAAGTCACTCACAAAAGAACAAATACTGTATTAGCTTACTTGCTTGCATCAGATGACGAGAACAGGTAAATATATCAAGATCAGTGATTATTAGTGATTACCTGTGCCAGGTGGCAGGAGGAAGAGAAGAAATCATTATCTAGAAAGTAGTGAATTTATGTCTGTGGTGATGGGAAAATGGGTATCAATGAAGGGTAATTGTTACAGAACTTGACTAATATAACTGATATCCCTAAGTCTTACGCTAGAAAAAGAGCAAAATGACAATTTTGTTTGTGCGATACATATTAGAATAATTGCAACTCCCCACTCTCCCCAACCAAAAAAAAAAAAGGAAAAAGAAGCAATTGCTGAAACTACTTAGACACACCAAACACCTACTGGAATTAGTTCTCTTGGGATCAAAGGCTTAGGGCCATGGCTTTGTGAGTTTTCAGCATTTCTGTTTTACCCTTAGTTCAATGAGTACTGTGTAGGGTTATCCAAGATACGAAGGAATCTGAGAAGAAACTGGATTCCATGAACTACTACTGCCTCATTTGTCCTGAGACCAATTGAACTTGTTGCAGACCGTGTAAAACTGGTCAGAAGTTCGAGGCCCATTGGGCCCGAGTGTTGCAGACAACGCAGGCCACAGCCTCTGAGGAAAAGATTCTGGCCACCGGGCAGTCATAACAAATTGTTTTTCATCTTAGTGTTCAGTTATGTTTTATTAATTCCAAACATGTGCCCTTAGTATCCACAGATGAATGTAATATTTTCCTAAAGCTGAGACTGTAAAGGTTTCAAGGTCAAGCCTTTCTCCAAAGGATGAACTGAAAATAGCTTAGCTACTTTCCGGTTCTTTGTTCTATAGACAAAAAAGCCATCCTCCCTAAATCTGTCCCAGGTGCTGGTTATTCAGCCAAGTTCCTGAGAACCTGGCTCAGGAAGCCAAAACAGCGGGACTCCTCCCAAGCCTTTTGTCCTTCCCTTTCACCTTCCCCCAACTGAGCTCAGGGGCTATAGATATGTTAATTGAGCCTGAGAAACCAAGTTGCGGGCCTGGGATTCGAACCAGCAAAGCACGATGTAAAGTTGCCTGAATGTCTGGAGAATTACGGATGCCAGCTGTACCTTGTCTTAGTCCCTCCCAGCTTAGTGTGAAGATCCTTCCCTAAATAAAATGGAGACTCAGGCTGGCCCAGGTGTGCATTATAGGCTGGCAGTGAAAGAGTACACTACGGCTAGCAGGTCGTGCATTATGGCTTGCAGGCCGTGCATTACAGGCAAGCAGTGAGAGTGCACTACAGCTAGCAAGGCATGCATTACGGGCACAGCTAAGATGTTTACCATACAGGACACCACGCCAGAGCTGCTAGACACCAGTAATGCAACCATCCTGGTTTCAGGGTGCCTCTTTGTCCCCCTCCTTTTGTCTTTCTGTGTATTCTTTTGCTATCCCTTTCGCCGCCAGATATCTCATCCTCGTGACCCAAACACTCGTGTCGAGGCCTGTCTCCAACATGAACTAGATGGTACCCAGCTATCATTGCTGAATATTTTGATCAAGGATTCAGTACATGGAGTCCTGATCAAGGGGGTCAGTGGGAAGGAGGTGGAACAGAACTTCAGATTTCATATAGAATCCAGATTTGACTGCATCCACTGAAGCTGGAGGAATCCCTAGACTGTTGTCCTGAGAAAGTTTTGAACTTTGAATCAAATCTATTCCCCTGAAGTCATCTTAAAACTATAGACCACAGTTTAGCTGAATTAGTAAAGAATATTCACATTAATCGTTGTCTCTATTAAAGAGTTATCTATATTGCGACTGTCACAACTGTAAAGGTAGAAGTTTTGTAACAAAAAGTGGGGAGTAGTTAATCTTACAGTCCAGGAACAGAACATCCAAGGGCCATCAAGGGAGAAAAGCACAAGCTGAATGTGGGAGCCTATCCAGAGAAGCAGCAACACCAGAGATGGAGGCAGAGATGATGATATGGAGAAAGGGAACGAGAACTCTAGACTCATGGAAAGAGAAAGGCTGTATTCTGATAGCCAGGAAGCAGGCTTGCAGAATGTGCCCTTCGGTTGTTTAAATTATTATATATTCCTGGGTGTTTTTGTGTATACCCCCCTCCCCCCCCAAAAAAAAATACAGCATGGGGAATAGAAGCAAAAATACTCATGAATGGTTATGTATGGAGGAGATTGTAATCACTGCAATGAAACCATGAGTGTAAAACTGATGTTCTCCCTTGTAAACTATCACTCAATTCACAATAAAAACTTTAAAAAATATATATCAGAAAGATATATTCTTGTGCCTTATTGATTATGCAAAAGCATTCAGCTGTGAGTCATAACAAACTATGGATAACATTACGAAGAATGGGTATTCCAGAACACTTGTGCTCATGAGGAGCTTGTACATAGATGAAGATGTAGTTGTTAGAACAAGGCCATATTGAATGGTTTAAAATCAAGAAAGATGTGCAACAGGACTGTATCTTTTCATCATACGTATTCAACCTGTATGTTCAAATTATCTGAGAAACTAGATTGTATGAAGAAGAACATGGCATCAGGATTGGAGGAAGACTCAATAGCAGCCTGTGATATACATATGACACAGCCTTCCTTGCTGAAAATGAAGAGGACTTAAAATGTTTACTGATGGAAATCAAAGACCAGAGACTTCTGTATGGGTTGCTCCTCAGTGTAAAGAAAACAAAAATCCTCAGCACTGGATCAATACATAGCATCATGATAAATTAATAGAAGATTGAAGTTGTCAAAGAGTTATCTATGTCAGGTCAAATTGAAAATATAGCTGACTCTTGAAGAATGTGTGAGGGTTAGGGGCACTGAGAAAGTCCACATATAATTTCTGACTCCCTCCAAAAGGTAACTATTAATAGCCTACTGTTGGCTGTAAGACTTAACTATAACATCTACAATTAATTAACATACTTTTTGTATATATTATATACTGTATTCTTACAATAACATAGGCTACAGAAAAAATGTTATTAAGAAAATCATAAGGAAGAGGAATCGATTTACAATGTTGCCATTGTTAAGTGTCATTGAGTTCATTCCAACTCATAACAACCCTGTATAGGATTTCTGAGGTTGTAAATCTTTGCAGGAACAGAAAGCCTCATCTTTCTCTGGAAGAGTGGCTGGTGGGCTCAAACCGCTGAACTTGTGGTTCATAGTCCATTTCTTATCCTGTAGAGTCACAGCAGTCCTATATAATGCTGTACTGTAAGTTTACATATATTTGTCAGATTACATTTGTTTATAAGATGAGTGGTCTTCATGTTGAGCGGACTGAGTGAGGAGAAGGAAGAGGAAAGGTTGATCTTGCTTTCTCAGGGGTGACAGAGGTGGAACAGGTAGAAGAGAGAGCGGTGGAGGCAGGCATACTTGGTGTAACTTTATGGAAGTGCATCATAAATTTTGTCTAACTATTTTGCATTTTCATTTCTTTAAAAATATTTCTATATGATACCAATTATTTTTCCACTGTTTGCTTTAGTTTCTGTGCCAGTATCACATAACAGCCTAGTATATGTACTGCAAAAAAATTGTGTATAAGTGGAACTGTGTAGTTCAAGGCTCAATTGTATTAATAAAAACAAAGATGAATAATATATGGGGCAAATAGTCTAACTCAGAAGTCCTAGTGCAACAGTGGTAAAGAACTTAGCTGCTAACCAAAACATCTGCAGTTCAAACCCACCAGCTGCTCCATAACAGAAAGATATGGCAGTATGCTTCTGCTTCTGCAAAGGTAGTTGTTGTTGTGTGTCATCAAGTCAGTTCCGACTCAGCAATCCTGTGTAGGGTTTCTGGTGGGTTTGAACTGCTAAACTTGCAGTTACCAGTGCAATGCTTATCCTACTGTACCACACCAGGACTCCCTGTAAAAGTTACAGCCTTAGAAATATTCTGGGGCAGTTCTGTTCTGTTCTGTAGGGTCACTTTGGGTCAAAATCAACTTGATGGCAATGGATTTGGTTTTTACATTTTGAGTCTAATTAATGATAGCGAAATGTCAGGAGCGATAGCAGAAATGGTGACCCATAAATAATGCAACCAGTATCACTGGACTATACATGTAGAAATTGTTGAATGGGTATATGAAGTTGCTGTATTTATTTTCACCAAAAATAAAATATGAAAAAGGCCACCCCCCAAAAAAAACGAGAGGCATAAGGGATTAGTGTTATGTTTTGCCCCCCCCCCACGCCTTTTTTTAAACCTTGTAATTCTATTTGCCTTTAAAAATATATTATGTTATTAAAAATTAATTTAAAAGACAAGTGTGTAGGAAAGTGAAGATTTTTGTTTTTCTGGTAGAGTTGTAGCTCATACTTGCTTATTTCTTTTTTCCACTTAGGTATGTTGATGATGTGATCAGCCGCATTGACAGGATGTTTCCTGAAATGTCAATCCACTTATCTAGACCCAATGGAACATCAGCAATGCTTCTGGTAAGATCTACTTGACCTATTTGTAAAGCATGTGGAAGAAAATTGACCTCAAGATTAACTCTCTGGTCCTGTGTTGTATAGTGTATAAAATGCTAATTCAGTCTGAGTTCCATGATATTTGTCTTTACTGACATTCTGTAGATTAACATGTTTTCACATTGAAATCTTACTTTGGATCCGAACCAATTGCAGATCCTATCTAAGAAGTAACCAGATAGGAAAGATACTGTAAGAGTAATTCACTTGTAAGCTAATTTATGGAACAAACCTCTTAAACACAGTTTTAATGAATCTTTTATAATGTCTTAAAGAGATACAGGGAACATGGTGGCTCCATATGATAAGCACTGGACAGTGAATAATGAGTTCACCAAAAATAGGTATGTTTTGGGAATACAGCAGAACAACAATGGTAAATTATAGTATTAATTAAAAAGGAATACAGACATCAATGCTGAGAAACTTTGCTGATGGTTTGTGTAATGAAAGTGGAAAACGCTCCCATGAACACAGATTTGGAGAAAACTACCACATGTTACAGAAAACATTTAAAAGTGGGTTTTGATAGGCATCAGGTTGGTGAGACTCAGAACAGACTGCATGTTATGTGTAGTCAGTTGCTGCTGTTTTGGGGCCTACAGTGTGAACTTCCTATATTTTAGCATTTACTTTGCTCTTCGAGGACATCCTGAGGGTCAGCAAATAAGAGGAGGACCTTCAATAAGATGGATTGACACAGTGGCTGCAACAGTGGGCTCAAACAGCACCACTGTGAGAATATGGAGGGATGGGCATTGTTGTGCTCTGTTGGTCATAGGGTCACTGTGAGTGTGAACCTACTCGATGGTGCCTAACAAACTTTGTAAAATATTAGTCATCCAGAATGAGTTGTGTTCACTCAAGCTAGTCTTCAGCTTTTCTGTGTTGCACATGTGGTTTTCCCTTAAGAAAGAAAAAAATGTAGGCTTATTAAATGTGTTATTTCATTGTGATAGAAAAATCAGTGAAGTTCATCTGGTTGACATGCTACTTTTTCTACTTAAAAATTTTTTTTCCCGTTAAAAAAGAAAGAGAATGAGATAGTAGTGTGTTTTCCTTTCACAGAAAAAGAAAACAAATGTCTTTATATAACATGTATCTGTATATAAAACATGAAATATTTTTCTGCCTCAGTTAAATGTACAAATTGTCTAAATTTTAAGATCCTGTGGATCCAGCAACCAAAACATAAATCTTGCTTTTGGCATGCTTGACAGGGACTAAAGAGTTAATGAAGATAAAAATGAAAGCGTCCTCAGTGAAATAGGTTTGTTCAAATTATTTCTGGGTCATTGAGCTTCTATTTCATGATGAAGGTAGGAATTTGGCATTGAAGGGAATGAGCAAAGGGAACAGGATTATAGGTAAACAGGTCTAGGATATTAGAGTTACTTCCACTTGACAAAACAGTCTTTTATTTCACAATGACCCGTCAGCCCCATCTGCTTTCCCATGGAGCCTCTGTTTTAATACACTGATGAGAGAGCTTAGGGGCTCAATTCAAGGAAAGAATTCTGTTGATATACACTGTTTCTTATACCCATGAGTAGTTCATTCAGATCCATATGTACCTAGCTAGCTTGGTTGTTACCTTCTTCAGATGTCACAAGACTCTACATGGGGGAGTGCTTATTTATAGAAATAGTAATGAGTAATCTGATTCAGAATCATTTTGCCAGGTGGATAATCATACTTTTAACATATTGCTTTATTTGGTTTTTACTATTAAAAGATGTTATTTTATCAGATTACAAATCTCTAAGCCATTTGCTGCTGCCTCACCCATGATCTTTGAGGACGAAGAGAATTCTTTCCTGGAAGGGGAGGGGAGCAGGACCAACAGCTGTTACTTCCAGTACTCCCTTTGCTAGCATCCTGTTCCCTATGAGTTGGGTGGAAAAGGATAGAGACCCATACTGCAAAAACACTAAGGCAATACTGCAGTAGGTTTGGGCAAAAGATCAAAATGTTGTTTTCCAGAGATTCGTTCTGGAAGGCTCTGAAAGGAGAGTAAGACTGGTGATGGAAAGACCAATTAGGAGGTTGTTGAAGCAGGACCCATTTGAGCACTCTGCAATGTCTCCTTTTATCTACCTTGGCCAAAGCCTCAAGTCAGTCTGTGCTTTTAATAAAGAAGTATTTCTTACTGAGTCAGTTAGACCTCCTTGGATGCACTGATAAACTTAGAAAGTAAGAAAAGCGTTGGTTCTTGTATTTGTTTTGCTTTCTTAAAAACAGAAAAACTATTGTGAATTGAGCAAAGGTTTACAGATAAGATCATCACCTTTACATTCAACAAATATACTTTGTTTCATCTCAATGAGTGCCTTCTCGTCTATGCTGAACACTTATCCTGCTTCCTCCCTGTGGTTTCCATCTCCCCATCCGGTCTCACCTGTGACCTTAGATACATGTTGCTTCTTTGATTTTGAATAATTGATTATTCCATCATTCATAGTGAGCAGACCTTCTAGTATTGTTGTTCCCCTTAGATACTTATCTGTTGCTTGGCTAAAAGTTGTGCCATGAGGGTGAGTTCCTTTCCAGATGTGAAGAGTGGTCAAGGGCCATGGTCTCATTTTCCTCCAGTTTCTTTCCGACCAGTAAGCTTGGCCTTTTTTTTAAATCTGAGTTTTGTTTCACATATTCTGCCACTCTATCTGAGAACTTCTAATATGATCCCTTTCAGAGAAGTTTGGTAGTGGTAGCTGTGTATCATCTCGTTTTTCTGGTCTTAAAGTCACAGAGACTGATGTTCACATTTTCCATCAGTCCATTGCCTCTTCATTTCACATCACTCTTCCTTTCTTCTGCGTATGGATAGACCTGTAGCTGCCCCTTAAACGGTCACTCATGGGATTTTCATATCCCAGGTATTACTCACCAAAGTAGGATGTAGAACATTGTCTTTGTGGACTATGTTATGCCAGTTGATCATGGTGTCCCCTGAAACTATGTTCTTGAGCCCTCAGGGTCAGTTACTCATTGCCTGAAGAGGTTTGCTAATTATCTAAGAAGATTTTATTGTTTTTCCCACTGTATATCCCACCACATTCATAGTTGAATTTGCGGGAAAGGTAAATCTCTATGTACCATTATCCTCTTTCTAACTCTTGTATATCTGTGGGATATATATATATATATCTTCCACTTTTCCCTCATGCTCATTCAGCATGTGTCTCTGTCCATTTATCTACCTGTAGAGCATTGTTGTCCCAAGGTTATATTTTATTAATATTTGCCTCTGTCCCCTTTAGCCCTAAAGACACTGCTCTGTGTCATCATCATTCTTCTGCCACCCTCCTTCTTTTATTTTGCCCTTTGCCTTTTTGTATATTGCTCTCCCAAACATGGTAGATGTCCATAGACTCAAAGATAGAGTCTGCCAAAAAGGACAAAAACCAGGGCAGCTCTAGGGATGTCAGGAGCAAGAACAAAACAATGGTCATTATGGTATCCTGTAGTCCAAATGATTTGGGATCCATTTCCTTCTTTCCCTGTGTTTGTGCTCAGACGTTTTCAGGAGAAATAAACAAGTTGACCTACCCCGGAGTGGTTCTGTCAGGGTGACATCATATATTGTCAGCATCACAGAACTATATAGTAGAGGATGTGGGCATTCCCCAGAGGAAAAAGGGCACAGCAGAAAAAAAGCAACAAGTGCATGATTAAATAAATGCCTGTGTATAGGAAGAAGCTCTCGTCTTACACAGAACTCAGCTCATTTGATCCTTAGAGTGATCTTCGAGGTAAATTATTGTTACGTGCTGTCGAGTCAGTTCTGAATCATACTGACCCTGAATAGGGATTTCAAGGAGTGGCTGGTTTGAACCTCCAACCTTGTGGTTAGCAGTTCAATGCTTACCCTGCAGCACCAGACCAATCATTTTTATTTTCCAAGCTAAAAAACTGAGATCCAGAGATGTGCAGTCCTTTCTATTAGACCATGCAGCCTAAACCCCCAGTCCAAGTCTCTAGAATACTCTTCTACTCTCATTCTGATTGTTGCTTATGCTGAGGACAACATTTGAATCACTAGACTAGTAATAATTTTTCTTAAAAAGTTTTTTTTATTCTGTAGTTTGGTCCATATGAATTTACATAATTTACATGTAAAGTGTAATGGTTAAGTTCTCCCACACAATTTTAAGAACCAGAGCAGAACCATTGTGTGCTTCCCCCCAGTCTCTGCCTCTCTACCCAAGGTAACCACAATCCTGGTTGTCATTCCTTAAACGTCCCTTTTTATATGCACTTTTACCATATATATGTATATTCCTATATAATATCTTGTTTCGTTTTGTTGGGTTTGAGCTTTATAGGAATGGTGTCATGCTGTGTATTGTTTCTGAGATTTATTCCTCTTGTTGATTGTATCTGTAGTTTAATCATTTTCATTGTCATACAAGAGCCCATTCTGTGACTGTACGCTATTACTGTTCTTTCTCCTGTCAGTGCATGTTTGGGTTGTTTCCAATTTTGCTTTTTAAATAATGTTGGCATGAGCATTCTTGCACATATACCACCATACATTTTTAAATCTTAGCTCAAGTCATGGAGCCGGGGCAAGTCCTTTCTGGAGAGAGAAGTGGAGTGTTAAGATTGGTGGGAGCTGATAGCATTTTTTCCCCAGTCACTTGAGTTGTGAAATGGCTTCCTGAAATCACTCAGGAGGGATGCCCACATTACTGTATAAAGGGGTCCAGAAGTGACTCAAGTTAACTGGACTGCATTCCAGGATTGCAGTAGTCAACTGATTTTGGTGTAAAGACTTCAGTTTTTGATGTGTAAGTTTAAACGGGTTTTGGGATTGTTTGTACACTTCAATAGGAAAACATTATTAAAGTTACTGGAATTCCAGAGCAGTCCAGGAACCAAAGTCCAATTTTTGTGTTCCTTTTCAGTTTCCTACTTTATCAAGCATCCACTGCCAAGAGGTGGCAGAGTGCTTTAGATGTATG